ACCTGGAGTCACACAGAAGAGCTCCAGAAGGTTTCAAACTGAGAACTCTGGACTCAGATCATCTGCTGCACACAGTTCTGATCATTTATTATCAATAAGAATTTTATTGATAATTATCATGAGGAGTCCTTAACTAGGATGTAGTTAGGCAATTAAATATTCATGTATGTGTAAATTTATTACCATAATTACAGATGAGTCACGTAAATTTATGTTTTTATAAAACAAGTAGCCCCCCCCACCCCCAAGCCCAATTTCCCAGGGGAAACACTGGACAGTGTTTCTACCTTTAACATAAAAGTAATGTTATAGCAAATTAAAATAACGTATGAGTCAGTCACTGAAAATAAGATCTATGAGGCATCAACTTGATGAACATGCTACCTTTCTGAAACATACACCTCTGTAGAAGACATGATCAYAGTTGTAGCGTGTTAGCACTTCAGGTAATCATGTTTTATTTCTGCTGTGCTGCCATGGAATGACCAAGTCTGCATTTTACTTTCTTTGGTTGATACAGTAAAGTTTATCCAACTATGGAAATTTTAAGCCTTGTTTTTTTCTCATCTTTCTGTTGCACCATTATTGACGCTCTTTGATGTGCCCGCTTCGTCATCTTCTGTGGTTTGCAGAGCAGCACGTTCTTCTTTAGAAAATAACGCAATCACAAAGCAGTTCATGTATTACATTGTTGTTGAAAATGAACATTTTCAACATATAGTTAAATAATATGATGCACTGACTAATCGTTGCAGCCCTACTCTAGATATCAGAGTAGTACTGAGATACTGTCTTAAAGCATCCCACTCAGTGTTGAGCAGTCCTGCAGCTGATGTTTAGGTTCTGCAGCCCACACTGGATTGGTTTTCCTTTAAGTGGGGCTTTGTTCTAGCAGTTGCTTGTATCCTGACAGAGGAAAATGGCCTTGTGGTCAGATGTCCAAAGTGTGGGTGTAGTCCTGTACTCCTCCCTAATGTTGTAGATCTGATCCAGTGTGTTGTTCTCCCGTGTTGAAAAGTTGATATGTTGGCATTACAGATTGTAAGTTGCAGTGGTTACAGTCAGCAGCCACTAGAAAGGCTGGTAAGAAACATTATCTCAGCAAACTGATCTAACAAGAGTAAACAAAGAGGGAATATACAATGACAGCTCACCACACACACACACACACACACACACACAC